TACTTTTAGGGTATAGCCAAGCTACCTCTTCCTGCCTTTGCTATTCCCATTCTGGAATATGTCATAGCTTTCTCTTGCCTGTATTACTGCAAAACAAAAACAAAAAGCAACTCCCCAAAACAATCACCACCACCACCACTACCATCACCACCGCCACCACCACTCCTAAGGTGTGATGCAGCTTATGAGGAAGATCAACATCCTGGAGGCAAAGGCTGCAGACAAAGAAGGACCCAACCAATTTTCTACTTCTGCCATTTCCTTTGTATAGTGTGCCGTGCATGCATGCTAGATTCAGCTGTTCTGTTAGCTTCTGTGTTAAAGGCAGCCTGTATGATCTGCCTCCAGGCCTTGTCTGATCTAGCCTACATGACATCCCTGCAGCTTCTTGATCTGTCATTTTCTACCCTGTTCCAGGCATCTTTGCTTTTCTCTGCTGTTCTCTTGCCTTCTGCTGAGACCCTACCTATTGCTTCTGCCAGGATTATTCCTCTGCCACTTTTAAATATTTGCTTAAATCTCACAGTCTCAGTGAGACCTGTTCTAATTAAAAATATAAACGTAAACACGGGTTGGAGAGATAGGTCACTGCTTAAAACACCTGATGTATAGGCGAGTGTTAGCCAGGGTGCGGTGAAGCCACAGAACTAGACCACTCCATTGGTAGAAAGAAAGGTTTATTGGGGACCAAATAAAGCAAGCAGGTTCTATGAGTCAACAGGGTGGGATCTTTGAGCTGATACTGGCTGTCTGGATTGATGGGAATTAGGAACCCTTTCTGGAGGTAGGTGACCTTTGGGGAAGGTTAGGGGAGGTTCCTGACAAAAGAAGCTGCCTTAAGACATCTGAATTTTTAGTAAATGGAAATCTTTAGGCTTGTATACATGATAACCTTTCTGAGCACCCATTGAAAGTCCTTCTGTTTAGAGCAATGTCACCAGCACTGCCATTTGGGGGTGCCACTTTAGATCAACAGCAAGAAGGCTGGTGTTTGTATCCCTAGCACCCTGCTGGGTGGGAATGGCAGCAGGAAATTCCAGTCTCAGAAGGTAGAGACCAGGGATCTCCGGAGCAAGCTGGCTAGCTAGCGAGAGACTCAAACTGGAAACATACACCATGTAGGTTAAGAGCCCTGTTTACAGCGAAGATAAGTTCCTGCTCAGTTGTCTTTGAAGGGCTGGCTACTGGAGTTTGAATACGCTCCAGTGAGCAAACGGGCTGCTGTGCCTCTCCTCCTTTCTCCTCCTCTTCTTCCTCTTCCTCCTCCCTCTCCCCCTCCTCTTCCCCCTCCTCCTCCCCCTCCCTTTATCTCTCCTCCTCCTCTTCCTCCTCCCCCTCCCCTTCCTCTTCTCCCTCCTCCTCCTCCTCCTTCTCCAGGGTAGGTGAGGGAACAGACCTAGGAAGACTGGGAAGTGAGTATGGTTGGGGTTCATGCTGTGAAATTCACAAATAATCAATAAAAAATATTATGTAAAAAAGAAGACATTTCTGTTTGTCTTATGTTTGACCCATCTGCACCAGATGTGCTTAATCACATGTGGGTGGGAGGTGCATGGGTGGGAAATACATCAGGATGTATGCTTGTTTCTAATTAGATCTGATGGGAAATGTGGTGTATTGTCAATTTGACCTTCTTAAGCCCTTGTCAAACATGACTTGTAGTCATTTTCTGAAAACCCAGAATGGACTTGGCCAGAGATCCATCCTCCTCTGGCCAGTATTTAATTAAAGCTTGCTTCAAAATTGTGAAAGTGGTCTTATTCTCAACCAGTGGGGTAACAGTGGACTAGCCATAACTTCAGATCTGGGTTGGATCGAGAGAACTTGCTTCAAAAAGAATAAAGATGGAGAGTGATTTAGGATTTCAACCTTAGGCCTTTATATGCATGGCCATATGAGTCTCCCACATACATACATACATACATACATACATACATACATACATACATGCATACACACATGCATACATACACACACATATACATACATATTACATACACACACATATGCATACACACACACACACATACATACACTCACATCATACACACTATGCATGAGAAGAAAAAGTAAAATCTAGTTTCCTATTCCACAACCACTTTGTTGTTGAACTTGGGGTATCACAGCCTGTATCCCAAGCTAGTTTTGGCTACCTGTCCACAATAAGCCAACTGAGAGTCAAATTAGTATCAGAAAGCAGAAACAGATTTATTCAATGAGGCCACTTTGGGAAGAGGGACAAAGATCCAGCAAAACCCCTAAGTACCCTGTAAATACACTTTTATGTTTCTTGAAGTGAGATCAATAAAATAGGGAGCTAAAAATATGTATATCTAAGCAGTCAAGGTCAAATGTGTGGTCCTATCTACTCTGACCCAATATCTGGGCTTCAGTCTTATCTGTAAAGTGGTCTGACGTGTTGTTAGATGTGTAAGGTCTGTGTGACAGGTTCTTCCTCTGGCTTGGGCCTTTTCCTTTTCCCAGCAGATTCCTGGGGGGAAATTCCCATTTCTTTTGAGGTCCACTGTTTCAGTGGTCTGACTGGCCGACTGAGAGTTGCAGGTGTCTCTTTAGCGTGTCTCATTTCTCCCGGACTGGAACTTCTGTTTTCCCATCTTCACAGCTATCACAACTGATCTAACCTAGCAAATACATGATGTCAGTTGTTTCTTATGCATCCTGCCTCCTCCGAATGTTTAAATTCAACTAGGGTTGGGGTAATGCATGTGCTTCAGGCTTAGAACAGCTCTGTGATGATAAAGCATGATAACCTGATGGGGTTTAGAATTGCCATGAAACAAACCTCTGGCAATGTCTGTGAGGGGTTGATAGAGACTGGCACCATTTCATGGGCTGGGGTCCCGGATGGAAGGAAAGGAAAACACAAGGTGAACATCACGGTCATTGCTTTCTGCTTCCAGACTGTGGCTATAATGTGACCAACTGCTTCCTGATCTTGCCACCATGCCCTCTGTCCCATTGGATGGGAGCATCAAACAGTAAGTCCAAAGATACTTGTTCTTGTGCTGCTTTTACCAGGTATTGTGTCAGAGGATAAACAACTATTTATACAAGTGCCTTGGCATTAGTAGGTAGTATCTGTGGTATAGGACTCTGAGGCAGTTCATGGTCAAACGTTCACTTATCACTGAAGTCCCATGAGCCCCCACCCTGACCAGTGGACTGCAGTGGCACTTGGAATTCCAGGGATGACACTGCCAGCCAGCAATGGCATAGAGGTCTAGATATTCCCCTTACTTGGTGGGAAGTTAGTTTTATTGGTTATAAGTCTTCTCTGTGGAAGGCTAAGAGGTCTCTTCCCTGCAACGTGTCTATCCTTTCATTTGAAAGGTTGTCTTGGCATAGTCTCGAGTGATCCTTGGCATCTCCTGATCCGCCTTAAGCCAGTGATTCTCAGCTTGGCACTGGTGGTATTTTGTTGTGAGGGACTGCTCTACGCATTGCAGAATGCTTAACAGTTCCTTGTCTTTATTCACTAGACTCCAGTTTTTTCTCTCCCTCATAAGCTAAAATCTGAAGATATTCCCATATATCTTCTACAGAGAAAGTTGCCCCTGGCTGATACCACTGCAGTGACTCAAACTGAATGTCATCTCCTGGGCTGTCAAGTTCTGTTATAATCAGAATTTATATATATATATATATATATATATATATATATCTGTTGTGGGAGATATATGAAGAAGGAAAACCATCTGACTAGCTCCCGGCCTGGCCTCCATGTTATCGCTCTAAGCCCATTTGTCTCAGCAAGCTATCCAGCAGGACCGGAGCGCCCAAGCTGGTTTCATCATCGAGTTGCTCTCTCTATCTTGCTCCTGCTCTCTCTAGCTTGCTCCTGCTCTCTCTAGCTTGCTCCTGTAGTAACCTGTCGTTGTGTTCCAGCTCTGGTTTGCTCATCCCTGGAGCCGCTAGTTCCTTCATAGCCATAACCACCTGGTAGGAGGACCCACTTCCCAGTAACCCAGAAAAGTAAAACTCTAAAGTGTAAAGATTAACTAATGGATTTATATATTAGCAAATACTCAATACACAACATGCCCACACAATTAGAACCGTTACCCCAATTACCTAACCTTGATATGAATAACCACCTGAGACTGCTAGAGACAGGAGGGTGACATCCGCAGCCATCTTGCTTCCTCTCTTCCTCCTTTCTTTTCTTCTTTGTTCTCCTTTCTCTCCCTCTCCCCCAAACTTTTCTGCTCCACCTCCCCTTCTACTACCCAATCACCGGCTCTAGCCTTTATTTTACAAATTAAGGTGGGCAGAAAGTTCACAAGAAGTCACCTTTATATGTGATTCACTCCTTATCTGCAGCCCCTCCCTGGAAAGCAGAATTAGCATGAATATACAAGACCAGGGCTATCCACAACAACTACCCCACAGAACTGATGTTCCTCGGGTTCCTTAAGAATCCCATGGCAGTTGGTAAGAACAGGAGTGATAGATTGCTTCACCATCAAGACCTGCCAGAAACTTTTACACTGCTGTCTATAAGCCATCTTACACCCAGGTAGGCTACACAACCAACAACACTCACTGTTCTAGGTGCCACGCTCTGTGGGCCACACATTCACACAGGAGTCTATGGTGTCAAACCTATTCAAACCAGCATACACAGAAAAGATCAAGTAGAAAAACTGTTCACTATCTCCCTGTCTCTCTTTCTAACTAGCAAACACAAGAAACACAATGACTCTTTACAAAGAAGAGTAAGGAAACTATTAATGCTTTTTCAATAAAGCAAATTCCAGGTTCTGGAGAGATGGCTCCATGGGGAAGAGCAGCTGCTGCTCATTCAGAGGGCCTGGGTTTCATTCCCAGCCAGCACCCACATGTGGTATACAACCATCCACGTAGAACTCATTTCATCATGCTGAAGGATTACGGCATACTGCTACTATCTGACGTTTTACAAACTATGAGTCATCAATTATGGCAAACAAAAATTATTTTCATCCCAAAGGATAAGCAAATTACAGGTTAAAAAAAATCAAGTTTAATATATAAAAACAGTTACACATAAAGGTTTCCTCATTTCTAAAAGTTAGACTTTTGGGAAGAAGTAGTTCTTACATCAAGTCTTTTCAAAATTGTAATCAGCTGTTCTATGTCAAGAACTGAATACTGAAGAGTCCAAAAGCAGGAAGTCTTATTGGACAAGTGTGTTCTTGGTCACATCCACCCATAGAGGCTGTGTACTTGGTGCTTCAGGGCTATAAGGAATCCTGGAGACAAGGGGATTCTTGCATGGTTGCCATCTTGGGATGTGCACCTGGCTCACGGCAGCTAGCTGGGGACAGTCCTGAAGCGTGTGCCTTCTTGTACTTACATATGAAGGCGTCTGTTTTCCCAAGGCTAACTTTGAAGGACTCCACCAGCACCAGTGAGCTGCAGGGCAACACCCCGCTCAGACACTGCAGGCTACTTGCTTTTTGTGAAGGTGATGCTGTGTTTGGTGCACCAGTTCTGTCAGGATTCAAAAGCATCTTCATCTCAGGGTCAGTGACATTGTTCTGGGAAGTCCTGCTGCCTCCACAGTCTGTAAGATGCTGGTGGTGATCTTCACTGAGCAACAAGACCATGGTGCCACCAACACGCAGCACTCTGCGACCAAAAAAACCCCAAACCGTAATTGGGATGAGTATTTCTATGTTCCGAGACAACAAACCATTCCAATTTATTTAAAATAGTTGTTAATTTGAAATTTAATTTCATCTATTTAAATACAAGAGTTTTGATAATTAGGTAGCATCTTCCATAATGCATATTCATTATAGTAATTATGGAATCTCTAGTACAAATCTGCCTTAATTATCTATTTTTGTTCTACTTAGATGGCAAGCTTCAAAGTAATTTGTAGTCACATTCTAATAAATGACTGTATAACAGAGAAGGCAAGTGTCAGAATCCTATGGAATCGGCATACTTAAGAAAGAAAAGGCTGCCGGCAGACACAACAGGAGGAGGTACTGAAGGCGGCTCAGCCTGGTGGGGGAAACAGAAAGAGGGGAGCAGAGCTCAGTATGGAATGAGGCCATGGATGGTGGGCCCCAAAGGTCAGCTGGGTGCACAGTCTGGGGGTCCTGAGATGCCAGGGCTTGAGGCAGAGACAGGAGGTTTAATGGTGAATGGAAGACAAAGCCAAAATGTGGAAGAGAACCAGGAGATGCACCCTAGAGAAAGCTGGAACACTGGTCCTGCCATGAAGGCCAAAGGAGCTTGGTATCAAGCGTCAAAAGCGATAGAACCAGCAAGTAGCCATAGTTAGATGCCACCAGTGAGCCTGGGGATGGACAGAAGGCCAGGGCAGAAAGGAGATAATGATTTGCTAATGAAGAGTCCACTCAGAAAGCACACGTCTAAAGTCTGTCCTATGATGCCCAAGGCTCCTCTGCAGTCTGCCTGCTCCTGTACTTGAGACCCACTGCCTGCCCGCTTCCCTCTGGCCAAAGATCTTCCCTTAGTTGTTCAAACTCACTAACCTGCTTCTGACTTCAGTTACTTCGCTTCATTGCTCTCTCTCCACTTAACAGGCCTCCCCTTGTGTGCTTCTCACCCTTCAGGTCCTAGACTTCTGCTGCCACCTCTGTAGACAGGCATCTCTTGACTATGCCTAAGGCACAGCCAGGACTGTTCTCCCTCTCCAGCTGGGTATCCTGTCCCCTTGCTCTACAACAGCAACCATGACTGAAAACACTGTGGTGTGTACCATTGTCCCACTCTGACAGGCAGGACCTAACCTGTCCTGCCCACTACAGTGTCCTCAGGATCTAGTTCAGGATACAGACATTCACACATCTCTGAGAGCATCTCCAGAAAGAGTAATGGAACCTCTTAGGAAGAACAGGGAGATAAAATGGCTGAAGACAAGGGAGGAAAGTGGGCAGAGTATGGTTCCTGAGGAAGGGACTGGGAGAAGCAGCCAGGCTGGAGGAGAAAAGCCACTTCTACACAGCCCAGCAAGCAGGAGGAAGTCAGCTATATGCCAGAGACAGACATAAAACTACAAATACCTCTGAACACAGCAAAGAAAATGCAAGTGAAGTGGTAACACTTGGTCTTTTGACACGTTTCATTATCCAGGATGAGAAGCTGGTGCTTAGGACAGAAACACTGGGACGATGAACATTTTTGAAGACGGAAACTTCTATAGTATTTTTGGGACAGTGGTTACATTGTATCAACAATACAGAATACCTTCAGTCCTGCATTACCTCTGTGAAATTATCCCAAGACTACATAACAGCAGTAGCATCAGAGTAACAGTGCTCACTGTGTATGGAACTTCTCACAAAACAGGGCTGGAGCAGTGCCTACTCAATAGAATCTGTCATCACGCAGATCAATGCCACTTTAGTGAAAGGCAAAGCCCGGGTGCAGTTTGGAGCAAATAAGAATCAGGATAATCTAGCAGGAGCCCAACAGTCCTATAATTCCATTGTACAGATACATGAGAAAAATGGCTGGTATACACCTCCAAAGGAAGATGGCTAACTACATTGACATATGTCTGGACCAATGTTCCTTTAAAGAAAATCGTCCCAACGTACAGACATAAGCTTTCGAGTGCCCGTGTAACAGCAGTACCGAAGACATTAGCTAATAGGTCATTTAGTGGATAATCTGTCAGCTGACATCCAGTTACAGCCTTTTCATTTTGCTCACTTTAGGTATTTTGGACTGAGCAGTGGGGCCTTTACTGTATTTTTCCTGACAAGTACACACAATAGCCACTCCCTACCACCTTTTTCTTGAAGAGTGAAATCTCTTAAGCAGGGAAGTCAGCATCAGTTTATTGCAGCTGTGATTTTACAGTAACCTTTCTCTATTGAGCCTATGGGGTATGAAGATTTGCAAAATCCTGTTTGTTTAGAGCCAATAAAAGTTTAACTGATGGTAAAAAAAAAAAAGAAAAAAAGAGTAACAGTGCTCAATAATGGTGACAGCTAAGATTCACTGTCTGCTTACCACCTCCTTCTTCTAGCACATGTGCAAGGCAAGGCGCTTCACATGCTGTCTACCAGCTTACTCACTGTAAGTTTCTCAAATAATGGAGAAGACAAAGGAGAAAAGATGACCCAAACTTCTCTGATGAGTGCTCTTCGAGGCCTCTTTCCATGTACATGTACACAGAATTTCTTACAAAAGGGCTATTCAGAAATTATAATATTGCTCAAAATGCTTGCCCTGAACAGCAGCAATATTTCAGTTCTTGATACTGATGATAATATCTTTCAAAAATCCTGTTGTTAAAAGGGTGAGGAAACTCTGTATATCAAACCATAGAAAAGATTTCTCTTCTGCATGTGACCCTGCAAGACCAGGGGTAGATGATTTCATAAAGCTGTTACTGGACCATGGAACACAGTAGGTCTTTGCCATCTAAACCACCCACTGCCAACCTTCTACCTCAGGAAGTCGGTGTAGTCACTGGTCCTTGAGTGGCTTTCCTGCTTCCTTTCTCACGGAATATTAGCATGTATAAAAATATGGCCCCCTTTAAAAGTTCTTTTACAACTTCCAAATTTTACTGGAAACTCTCTTTCCATGAAAGCGTTCCAGGCCTCCTGAGCATGTGGGCGCTTTCCTCTCATCAAGGTTCATTTCAAGTCTTGTTCATGTGTTTTCCATGGGGATGGCTGAGGAGAAAGCCCAAACGCTCCACCAAACTCCTAACTGTGCTGTCTTGACGAGATCATTAAGTGAGCTACATGTGCAGCTCTTGCTAGCATAGCAATCATCTGTCTGACAATCCCTATTCCTTTCTGTATGACACACAGAACCATCTAGTTCCACAATCACTGTGAATAGGTTACTGAATACATTTTTTTCTTAATTTGAGTAACACAAGTCTCCTCTTTTTGATTTCTAGATGTCCAGATCCAATAAATGCCAGTGAATTTTTAGGAGAAAAGCTTATGTATTTAGCTATGGATACACATCCTCACATACCTTCCCAGAAGTGGCTTATGCTAGGAAGTCTGGGTAGGAGCTAAGAAGCTGAGTGCTGTCCAGTGCTCTGACTGTTCTGAAAGCTTTAGATCCATGGAACCCTCTGAACAAGACTTGAAGGTATAGATTGTGACAGAAAAATTAGCCATGAAGTGGTCATTCTGCTTATGCCTGAGGAATTACAGAGTCACAGCCAAGCCTGGAACAAGCTGTCTGACTTCCAAGGCTGCGTTCTCAGTTACTATGCTATGTTGTCTGTATGAACCTGAAACTAAGTCAGGTCATAAAATCTTGGGGTAGGTAGTAAGGAAGCCAGAGCAAAATAAAAAGAAACTCCTCATATGTTCAAATGCATGGACTTTAAACTGAGGTACTCTTAACATGCAGGAAACTTGAATATTCATCTTCCTGACTCTGTGGTAAATGTTTAAATTCCCTGACAGTGGGTAGGCAGGCAGGCACACCCATTACTGTCTCATTTCTACAGAAACTTCCAACTGTTGCATGTGCTGCCCAAACCCTACCACCCCATGACGTGTAGATATGTCTAAAATAGAGAAAGCTAGATCTTTTGTCAGGTCATTATCTCTCTGGAAAGTTCCGGTTTAAATGTGTGTCACGGCTCACACAGTTCATTATCTCGCCATGAACTGGTTAATAGGCAGTGAGCAACTCAGTTAGGGTCTTAGGCTGTACTTACAAGCTGGGCTGTACAGCAGGATCACAAGTGGCAGCTTTTAAGAAACATACCCAGGCCCAGCCCTAGACCAATAAAATCAGAGATGTGGAGAGCGGCGGGAAACGGCCACAGTATTTTAAACACGCTCATGCAATGACTTTAACATGAAGACAGGGTTGCGAAACCTGCTGAAGGAGAATTAATATCAGATCTGGGGATGACTAAGAGATGCCTACATCACAAGTGCTGCTTTGAGCAGGACAGAGCCAGGGACCCAGGCAGCAGGGAATGGCTTTAAAATGTATTTACCTCATTTATTAATTTTTGCATGCCTGCATGCCACAGCACACGCACATGGGGGTCAGAGGAGTCATTCCGGAGCTAGCTCTTGCTCTCAGCCCAGACAGGAGAACTGGGATTGCAGACGCAGATATGCTTTACTGCACATGTCCGTGCACACAAGGACAAATCCCTAGCCCTCATGTAGAAGCCCTCATGTGATGTGGCAGCGGGTGTCTTTGATCCCAGCAAGGGGTGTGGTGAGACAAAAAGATCCCTGGGGCTTTCTGGTCACAGTCCAGCCAAATCTGTGAGCTCCAACCATGCTCAGAGGACTTGTCTCAAAAACAGTGGAGAGTGAGACAGAAAGACAACCAACAGAGACTTCTGGCCTCCACACACGTGCACCACATGAACACACATGTACACCACAAATGAGAAACGTGATGTGCCCAGCTGACAAGATGCAGTGAGACAGCTAACAGGTGGGTGAGACCTTGAACCAGGCTTTGACTTCCTATGGTATGTTAGCCTTGACACTGGATTCTCTCACACACCGGTGACATATTACTCCCACAGAAGGGTAGCAACACTCATGTCCTGCTCCATCAAATGTCCAGCTGATGTAATTTATCATTGATAATCCCTTACGATTGTCTATTTATTCCTGCATCAATATAAATGACTGAAAAATGTTTATTTAGGCCTCACTGAACCTCTTGAAAAAATACTTCCATTAAACTATATCCAGAGGTCAACACTGGAAAATGTGGTATGAACAATATTCTGCGTTTTCATCTCATGCCAGTGTAGTCCCATCTTGTCATTCTGGTCTGTGGCTCAGCAGGCACAGGTTCATCTTCCTGGGCCCAGTTTCTCATCTGTAGAGTATGGGATCTGACAAGGAGGACGCAGGTTTTTGTGAAGATTAGAAGCAGATATCTAAATTATCCACTCTGGTTACTGAAACAATAGTCTTTTTTTTTTCTCAATAAGATTAATGGTATAAGAAGACTCAGAAAATGCATTTCAGTTATAAACTTCTAACTTTTAGAAAATTAATAGTAATAATTTGGGGAAATTATTCTATTGCAAAAGACTTAAGGGCAATGATATATTTTGACTAAACGGCCTGTAGCTAGAAAATTATGGAAATAAACTCAACAGCTTACCTTTCCATTTCTTGTAGAATGCTTTTGATGTCTTTTCCTAACTTAAATTTTTTTCCAAATGGAATGTCAGAGATAATAACATCCACACTTTGGGATGGCAGTGGTAAATCTGGAATGCAGGAACCAGAGACTCCTATTACGACAAGGTCAGGGACCTACCGCCTCAACAAAACACCTGTCTACAAGGATTTTAAAACATATCCAGTAAAATTCAGAGTTTCTATATTGTTTCTATGAAAAGACAAGATTCTGAAGTCTTTGGAGATCCAAGATAAAAATCAACAGTATTATTGTATAATCCTCCCTGGTCTGGCAGGGTACAGTCAGGAGTAAACACAAAGGACGAGAATCTTTTAACAATTTCTTTTTTATTTTTAAGGCTTTCTTTAAAGGCTTAGGCGGCCATTCCTTGTAAACAGGCCTCTCTCCTCTTCTACTTCTGAGGCAGTTCTCACCAGCCCCACAGCATCCAATTCTCACCAGCCCCACAGCATC